AATTTCAAAGCCACCTGATGAGTACTGTTCATAATACTGATTGGGATCCCCAATACTCTGCTCAATGGTTGGTCCATTCAGTTGGGTTTTCCAGCTGGATATGGAGCTGGCTTAGTGGGAAGCTGGCTTAGTGACACCCCTTCCTCTACTTATAAATGGGGTTCTGTGACTTCATTTTGAATTCTAGCCATTATTCTGAATAAATAACTAATTTCTTCTTAAGCCCTGGTAGAGCAGTGGTTAAAGTGCAGTATTGCAGGCAAACTCTGCCCACAGCTGGAGTTTGATCCTCTCAGGGCTCAAGGTTGACACAGACTTCCATCCTTTCAAGGTTGGTAAAATGAGGACCAGATTGTTGGAGGCAATATGAAAATAACGCTTCTATATTGTAAACCACCTTGAGAGTTCTGTAACGTGCTAATGCTATTCTTCTGCTTCACTTTTTTCTGGATTTTCATCTCACTTGGAGTGAACTTTTCAAACTTTCTTAAAACAATAATCAAGCAAGAGAAATATGTCCCAACTGGGTCCTTTCGCAATGTAATGGGGCATCTACTTGCATAATTCCCAGGTAGCATAAGCATTGACAACTTCATCAACATGTACTCTAAGTAGAAGTGAAACTTCTCTGTTCCTGGAAAATTACCATAATTTCCAGTTTGCATCCAGCATACTCAATATGCATATCAGGGCGAGCACATATGCCAGTACAGCAAGTAAAAATATAGTTTGATGTTTATTTATTAAAGACCAGCAAAGAACAAGAAGAGATAATTGGCAAAACATGACAAAAAGGAGGTAAAACAGGAAAGAGGCATAAATAGACAAGAATTTACACCACCACCCCTGTGAACAGGCCAGAGAATTTTTCAGAAAACAAAAACATTACAGTGAGTAATTAGCATGAGCGGTCCCAAAGAGAATGACCTTTGGTTATTCCAGCCTTAATTGTTTTATGTTCATAATGGCAACAGAATAGAGATGGAAAACAGGACATCTGGTACTCCGTCCTCTGTTCTACACTATGAAGGAAACAACTTGGTGGATAAGGATAATGTATCTTCTTCTTTTCTTTTCTTTTTAAATGTAACTTTACTTCTACTTCCAGGGGAGGTATGGCAA